TCACACACACACACACACACACACACACACACACACACACACACACACATGCACAGATATATAATCAATACGTGAGGCTATGTGCTATGTATAATATATCAACAGTGTGCTTCTATTTATTAAGGCTGACAAACACATTTTTTTATGTACCCGCATAGAGAGAATTTCTTTTTTTCTTTCTTTTCTGATTTCCTAATTTCCTTTTCTTTTTTTCACTAGTTTGGACATATCGTTGATGCTGTTCTGTCTTGACGCTGACCTGTATATACTATAGTTGTAATAAAGGGTTGATATGACTTTCATAAAAAAGATAAATAAAACTAGTTTTATTGTCGCATCTTTTGTGAATTTGGGTTGCTCTTGTTTCAAACATATTAAATGTAATCCCTTGGGGCGGTACTACTGACTGAAGTGTCTTTAGGCCATTCCCAAAAGGGGTGGGGGGACATTAACATATTTTTATGCTCAGTAGAATTGTAAATGGGCTGATTCATCTATGTCATGCTCATAACTGTGCCTGAACTGCATACGGGGAACTGCTGCTTTTTCTTTCCTAATCTTTACTTTCGTCATTTTCCTCCACTTCTTTTGCATGGTTGTCACTCTCTTGTGACCCGCTATTTTCAGGGTGCCTTGATAGTCGAAGCAGACTATTATCAGAGTAAGCCTGATTCCCTGTAAGGACTTCTCAGATGACATCCACCCCATGGCGCTCATATGACCTAATGCAGTTGCGAACGCCGTAAAAATTCTACTAAAAAACAATGTGTGCCATGCTTCCATCCATCCATCCATCCATCCATCCATCCATCCATCCATCCATCCATCCATCCGTCCGTCCTCAAAGATGGTTGGCTGGTGCTGTGGTGTGGTTTGCTTCTTCTTTCTTAGCAAACATATTATCGTCCTTATCTCCCCATCTTCATTTCGTTGCTCTATTCTTTTCTCTAGTAACGCTTGTAATCTACGACCTTTATATGATCTATTTGTGTTGCAAGCTCTATAAAAAACCTTAACTATATTGTAACAGCTCAAACAAAACAAGCAAACAAATAAAGTTACAAAGCGTCCACCCATTCATCGATATCGGTTCATTCAATCTTTGGTTGTCTGTAATTGATTTTTTTAACAGCTGTTTTTCTTAAATTGCTGCCTGTACTTTTTGTTATTTTTCTTTCTATCTGTTTATTATTTTGGCGCCAATACTTAATGGAATTTTTCTTTGCATCTGTTTGTCTTCTGTTACTGGTCAATACTAAATGGTGGGGGTTTCTTTTTTGTTTCTTCAGTGGCGCTGTCCGGCGGTGAGCGTGTGGCTGTCCCTCTGGGCCACAATGTGACGCTCCAGTGCACGCCCGTGGGGCCCGAGGAGCAGTTTGCCACCTACATGTGGACGCTCAACTCTGTCTTGCTGGCCTCTATGGGCAAGGACCGGCTGGTCAACATTGTGGCCGGCAGCTATGTGGGCAAGGTGAGATGTTGCGTTTGTGGGAGGGGGTGAGGGGGGAGTGTATGTGTGGGTGTGGGTGTGTGTGTGTGTGTGTGTGTGTGTGTGTGTGTGTGTGTGTGTGTGTGTTTGTGTGTGGCATCGTGGTGAAATCAGGACTTGTCAAAATGATGGAATCAAAGAAACCAGCATTTCCCCACAGGTTTGGGAATTTTTTTTCGAATTAAAAAAAATGGTTCAACACCTTTTAGGTCCATTTAAAAACATATATTTCTGTATGGATTTTACTAGAAAACATTGATTAAATACCAAAAAAGTGTAAATTTTCAGCTTTCAAGGACTCTCTAGCTATTACAGTCAGCATACTTTGGCGGCTATTTGCTTGCTAATTCTACTTCTAAAACCAGACGACCCCACCACCTTCATTCCCAAATATCTTGACTTCTATTCAACATAGAGGGATATCTTTTTGGTCAAAAGCAAGACAAATGAAGAGACTGCAAGATGATACAAATACTTCCATCCAAAAATTGACGAGTGCCCGCCTGATTCCACCATACCATGACACAAATAATCTTAACTAGTGTCGTTGTGGGGTGTAGAAAGCCATTTAAAATCATACATAACTCACTCCTCATTCTCAGATGTCTATGCTTCCTGTTGATGGGAGTCTCACTGTCCTTGACCTTAGGATGGAAGACTCTGGAAATTACACTTGTGGTCTGGTTGTCATGGTGACCAACGAAACTTCAGGGGATGTAAGCTTTCCAAATATGGAAAAGACTTACGAGGTAGTAGTGCAAGGTGGGTACAAGATTGTGGATTACTGGAACTAAAACACACATATGCGAATAAATGAACACATTTGTATGTATACTTCTGTTTATAACTTCTTCCCTCCTTCCCCCCCCC